ATAATAAGACTTCTCGTTCTTGATTTTGACAAGCTCATTTTTACAAGTCAATATTTTGTGGAAAGAAGACCTACATAGACTTACTCACGAATGATTTAAATGAAGTTGCATTCCATGCACGTTGTAAAGGTGTAAAACAAGACGTTCTTGCTTTAACCGCTAATGAAATGTTTCCTGAAGCTATACAATGCTATTACAATGAAGATAAGAACATTCACATACCTGTTGGAACATATGACAAAGACTCTGAGTTCAGTTTAATGAAACTTTACAAAGCACTTTATGACGGTCAAGAGATTGGATTTGACTTATGTAAGTCATGTCAACCTTGCTTTGAAGAGAAGTTTAACTTCTCAATAACGACTAAAACAAGCTTTATTCGTAAGTTGAAGTTCTGAGGTCATTTATTTTTGTCAGCAATGAGGTCATTCGTGATAAAAATAAAACTAGCGGCAAGGGCGAAGCCCATGTGGTCATTTACAATACTGCGATGGTAGAGTTTAAGAGTTGTGCTTCAATGTAGAGACAGTCCTTATGGTCTGGAGGTAAGAACACTGGGCAGTTATGGTCATGAGTGGAGAACATGTCTATCCAAAACTCACGATTGAAGCCAGTTAATTTATAGTATTTAGGGTTAGGAAGTGGTGAAGTTCTTGTATGACCAATGAACTCATTTTCAACTCCCTTACTTAAGTTTGAATATAATATAGCTTGCTTTCTATCCCAAATGCCAGGTGTTACAATCTTTGAAAATTCATTTTTCCTCGGAAGCATTGCATCATAATTGAAAACATTCTTGAAATCATCACTTGGTTCAGAGATTTGAAATCTTATACGTAATGGATTTTCTTTCTCTTTAGCTACTTCATTGAATGGTGAGAATACAACAAACTGACAGTCATGAGTTCCATCTTCATTTTCATTAAATTCATAATGAAAGTCTATAAGTTGTGGCTGACTACCTTCTTCTTTCAGTTGTGCAAGAAACTCACGTAAAGGCTGTAAAGTTTGTACTTCAATGTTAAACTTTTTCTCGAACATTTCATTAAATGAAATCATACATTGTTGCAATGTTGTATCGTCTTTAAAGTATTTGTATATGTGAATGTTTTGGGCGCTTAAAGACTGTTCGTCATTTTCTATCTCGACTTGAAGTATAAAGTCAACCTTTCTGAAAGCACGTGTTATATACATATTTGTTATGCCAATGTACTTCTCTTCATTTATGTTCACAATCCAGTCTGTTGGAAACTTAAACGTTACTCTGTTCCCCTTTATTTTGACGTCAGGGTTTTCACTACTGAACGCAACAGATAAAGGTATTTGTCTATACATTTAATTCGGATAAAAATAAACCATTTACTCTTTCTTTGCTTCAGCTTCTTTAGCTTTTGCTTCAGCTTCTTCTCTAGCTTTCTTCGCCAGCAAACGTGGGTTCTTTTGTCTTCCAGCAGCTAATGCAGCAAGTTGTTTTTCACTAAGTTTTTCTCTTTGGTCTCTCTGGCTTTTGTTCTTGTTTTTGTTCCTTCAGTTCGGATAAAATTTGCTCACGAATTTCTTTCTTCAATGCTTCAACATCTATGACCCCCTGGGTCTTGTCCGTAGGGCTTGTCTGAGTCATTTGACTGCAGATAAAAAACAAAATTAAAACTTTAACCGATGTAAAATGAGCTTGTCAAAATCAGAGCGAGAGTCTATTATATTAAATGACGCAAGAGGAATACAACATCCTTTCTATTACGTAAGTCAGAGTAAAGATGGTAAAATATACGTAAGAAAAAGAAAGGTTCCATTAGTGAATGCAGAAAGCGACAACATTAAGGTGCATGGCAAGGGTGAAGTCCACGAAGCCCATATAAAACCTTCTGTTCAAACTGAAAAGTCAATAGAACCAGAAGAAAAGAAGCCAGATGTACTTTCAATAACGAACCAAGAGCTTATTGCAAAGTTCGTGAATTTCATTGAAAAACAAACCGAGTCAAAGAATCCTGACCCGCCAGTGAAAGAAGTTGAGACAAAAGAGAATGTACAGTTCATTGAAAATGTCAAGAAACAACTTCCACCACAAATGCCAAGAAGAAGAGTGAGAATAATGAAGTAAATAGATATTTTTATCCGAAGTAAATACATGCAGAACGAACAGCTAAACGAATTTACTCCAGCAGAGCATATTCATCAGATTCGCTCATATTTCGATATCATAGACAATGCAGTTCAAATTGGTGACACTAATAGAAAATATTCTGACGCAAAGATTCCATCACAACCTGGAACTGCTAAAGATAACACATGGGTAACATTCAATCTCTCACCTCCTGGTGAAAATATGTTGGACCTTTACAATACATTCATTACGTATAAAATGGAAGGTCAATTTATTGTAGATAAAGAAATTGGTTCAGGTTCCAATAAAACAAACCCACCAGGATTTTGGATTGGTTTCGATGACGCTTTCTATGCAGTTGCTGGATATCAAATCCTTGCAAATGGTCGTATCGTATATTCTCAAGACAACGCAAGAGAAGAAGCATATATAACTTCAAACTCACAAACTACCGAACAAATAAAGAAAGTAGATGTTTTCTCAAAGACTCGACATGAAGATGTATGGAGTCATTCGGGAACATGCAGAACAGGACAAATTGTTAGTGGTCCAATTACAGCAGGAAAATCATTTGATTTTAAGCTTCGTTTAAGAATTCCTGTTAGAAGATTCCTTCCATTAGAAGCTATTCGATTTATTCCAGCTTTTGCAGGAAACATTCAGCTTAAAGTAAAGTTCAGTAGCGACGCCTTACAATGCACATCTATATTTGTAAATGATATCATTGCTTTCAATCCAACTCTTAAAGTTGCATTTGCTTCAGATTCAAATCCACCGACAAATAAATTTGTTCCATGGAATGAACCATTCACTATGATAACGAAGGCAGTAGAAGCTAGTGGAACAGTTACTATTACAACTGTAACCCAGCAACTATTTCGAACAAAGATGGATTTTAATGAATGTTTCATTCATCCAAAGTCATTCTCTTTAGACCCTAACATTTATACAGAACTTGTAGAACATTATACAAACGAGGCTTTATGTTTTCCTGTTAAAGTTATGGATTGGATTCCTATGGACGGTTCATTCTCAAAGAATACAGATAGTTCAAGTGCAACATTTACAGCAGCTTATACGCCTATTAATGTTAAAAGTATTTGGGCACTATTTAGAAAGAAAGACAACTATTATGTTAATTTTGAGAACCCTAAGTTTAAATATCTTCAGCTTTCCATGGGAGCTTATGGAAATATGCCTGCAGAACCTGAAAAATCATATGGACCTGTATTTTATGAAATGGTTGCGAACGCCTGCAATACAAACAATGATATGATAGGATTTAATGAAGATGTTATGAGGTCATTGGTGGATGATGGTAGTGTGGAACATAAATGGGATAGCTATGACAACACACATTTCTTATGTGGTTTTCCAACAGAAGTGGACTTTTGCTTCCAGCAAGGTCAAACATCTACTGCTCCAATAACATACAAATTGTCTGTTAAAGGACCTATTGAACTAGCAACTGAAAATGTACCAAAGCCACTTATTGGATTTATGAGGGATTGTTGCTTTGCCATTCAGGTGCGTGCTAATGGCATACCAATAATAAGACTTGACGACTATAACTTAGCAACTGACGACAGTGAGGAATAAAGGATGAACGTTTATTTTTAAAGCTTATAAATGAGTTCTTCATCAAGCTCTCGTGAACCTTCACCATCTATGAAACAAACTTTACCAAACGATTATGGAGCACCTATTGAATATTTCTTACGAGCTGCACAATGGCAAAGAGCAGTCTCACCAAGGTTAGGTGTTCCACCAGCTCCTGTCAAAAATAGCATTTGGTCAAGTCCTTATATAAAATATGGTCTCCCACTAGGTTTGCTAGCTACAGCAGGAGCAGTTATGATGTTGAAAAGAAATAAAGCAAATGTTGTAAATAATACTGAAGTAGCTGAAGTTAAACAAACTCCAACACCTTCGCCAAAACCAACGCCTTCACAAGCAAAACCTTCAATGACTCCTGAACCTATGGAAGTACAAACTCCTGTTCAAAAGTCAACTCCTAAACCGACTCCAACATTTAAACCAGAACCTACTCCTCAAATAAATCGTAAAACTCCTGCGTTTCCTTACTGAAAAAATAACGTTATTTTTATTTAATATTAAAATTTTTATTTAATTAAAATGACGACTAAAGTCACTGAAGCAATGAAACAAAAGTTTTTGGTAGAATACATTAAATCAGGAACTATTCCAGAAGGTTTTTACATTCATACTATGAAGGATGGTAGAGTTCAGTTTAGAAAGATAAAGCAACCATTAGATAAAGAAGGAATTTTGAGAAAGATTAAACTTCATGAGGACAACATTGCTGAACTTAAGAAGAAGTTAGAAGAGTTGGAGAAAGGAAGAGAGTTATAAAGCAATGAATTCAACAGGGTGAAAAAACAGGTGAAAAAAGAGGTTAGATCTCACCACTTCACCTAAATTTATTTTTGTGCTATGTTTTCATACGTGTGAGGGTGGTGATATCATTTATTTTTAAGTTTATTTTTTATTTTACTGAAAATTTTTATTTTATTTTTATATAAATGACGAAAACTATTGAGATAACAAACTACAACGGTCATGAGTTCAAGAATTTGTTCTTCGTTCCTCGTGAAAATACATTCTATCAGATACGAGGGAGAAAGGGTAAAGTTAGTTTGAGCGTTTATGACTACAAGCATAATGGAAAGTTTATACAAGCATATGATACAAACGGTAAGCGTGTTTCATTAGCTTTGTCAAAACTTACTAACATTTATTTTGACAGTGACTTTGACCTATATGAAGAAGAAAATGAGTCAGAAGATTATGAGCTGTTATGTGAAGCACAGCAATGGGAGGAGTTGCAATACTTTTGTAAGTGAGAACGTTTATTTTTTACATTAGTGAGGTGAAGTGGTTGGTGGCTTTGTAAATATTTAAGGTTAAGTTAGTGTTGTCGTTTGATTTGTAAAATATACGTTAACAGTTTTGTAAAGTGTCAAATTCACATATCAGGTGTAAGGTGGAACGCAGTGCCTCCGTACACAACTAACCCATACTAACTTCATTTAATTGTTAATTGTTAATTGTTGATTGTTAATTGTTGATTGATATTGATTAGTTACATTATTCACTTTCCATTAATATGATAACATTCATTTAATTGTTGATTGTTGATTGTTATTGATTAGTTACATTATTCACTTTCCATAAATATAATAACATTCATTTAATTGTTGATTGTTGATTGTTATTGATTAGTTACATTATTCACTTTCCATAAATATAATAACATTCATTTAATTGTTGATTGTTGATTGTTATTGATTAGTTACATTATTCACTTTCCATAAATATAATAACATTCATTTAATTGTTAATTGTTGATTATTGATTGTTATTAGTTAGTTCCATATTTATATATAACAAAACAAAGTAATTTTTTAAAAAAATCATATGCTCAGATACCTCTTATATATGATTAAAATATTGGCAAATACCTAACAGCATATATCCAAGAGGATTTTAGTTTTTTAATTTTTTTAAAAAATGTCACTTTTTACCTTATTAATTTCAATGAAAATATCACACACATCATTTTAATAATTATAAACAGTTAAATCATTCTCATCATTTTTTAATAAGCTAAAATGCAGAAAAACTATATTTCATATTGCAAGCTTTAGATATCTTCGAAAAAAATGTAATAATATAAATAAGTGTAATGATTTATAATATTTTAAAATGCTTATTATTGATCATTGTTATTGAATTTAATTGCGACCTTTTCGCTTAATGAGGTCCAAAATCATGGTTCCGATTTGTTCTATGTTCGCGATTGATAAAGAAAATCGCGTTTAATTTTGATCACAATTTTCCATAAAAATCGCGATTTTTTTGAAAAATCGCGACTACAATAAAATCGCAATTCATTAAAAAACGCAATTTTAAAAAAGTCGCGATTTTTCTAAAAAATCGCGATTTATATATTTAAATCATGATTAAAAAAGTGGTTGCGGTTTTCCCTATTGATTCTTCAAGTGAAATAACACGATATTTAAGATCTTCGATGAATGAACTTTGTTCGGCATATCGATGTTCGTTGAAAGAAACTTGTGATTGTAATTTTTGATTGATAGAATAAAGTTTGTCTGAACTTTCTTTCATTTCGTTGTATTCTGATTTGAGTGAAAAAAGTTCTGAATTTAATGATGAGAGTTTTGTATTCGATTCTGTTAACTGTTTTCGA